CAGCTAGTAACAAATATAATAGCTTTTAACAAGGAGAGCTTATCATCAAGGTTCAGACAAGCTTGAGCCCATGTTGCACCTGATGAACCTGCAAAAGGAGACAATGGCTATCAGAGCTGAGAATTAATCTCTCATCTCCTTGCACTGAGGAGAGGGGAAGGGAAGGGAAGGGAAGGGAAGGGAAGGGAAGGGAAGGGAAGGGAAGGGAAGGGAAGGGAAGGGAAGGCCTCAGTCACAGCCAGTTCTCTAAGCACACTATTGGGCACCAGGGAGCAGCTAGACCATCCCTTGGGACATAAACACACACAACAAAAGCAACTCAGAAACATGCTCATCTCCTTCCCTGTTGCTGTTGTTTTTCCCACCAGATGAAATGTATCTCTTCCTGCTCCTTGTTATCATTTCCAACAGTGTCTAGTTAAGTTTGTTCACAAAACCTACATGCCAGACAACTGTCATATGCTATGCATTAACCTCACACACATTGTGAGCCTCCCAGATTGCCACTGGTGCTTGTGCTACATAATGTGCCCAGGATTCTGTCTTCCCGGTTGCTCTCACATTGTTTCTTGGGATGCTTAGCAACTCCAGATCAGAAAAGTTATGCTAATGCAACATGCCAAGCACCCACATCCAGCCCTTTCTCAGGGAGCAGGCATAACAAGATTACACATCATTAGGTAGTTCCTAACAAAGCAGTTACAAGCCATGAGTCCACCTAACCCAACATTGCTTCTAAGTCAGAAGACCCCAAAACTTCACGAGTGTGGGCAAAAACATACACAAGTGTGCTGTTGCCTGTCCAACCTGAACATAAAGCAGAGCTTGTATTTTGTGCAGATGCAGCTATTTAGGGCTTAATCCTGCAGCAGCAGTGGTGCTGGACTCAGATCCTAAAGGATGCTGATGGAATCAGCTTCCCAGAAGCCAGTCCTGCCATATACAGGCAGTACACACAAGGCTTTCTACGTTTCAACAAAATGTTATTTCTGGAGCAGCTGCCTGGGAAGGGATGCTAAAATCTTGCCTAATAGTAAAAATAAACATTAAATATTTTCTTGCTATTTTTCATCAAAACATTCTGTGGTTTATTTGTGGGTTAAGCATCACATCTTCCAGTAAGGTCGGTGTTGCTACTCAGAGGCAGGAGAAATGTGATCATTGCATTTGCTGGCCAAACTTATGAATCAAGACAGAGCAAATCTCATACAAAATCCCAACATCTGTTCTCCTTCATCCCCATTTATCTGTTCCCAGCATCTGTTCTCCTTCATCCCTATCTTTCTCATCAGCTGAAACGCAGCATGGCAATACTGCAGCTATGAAAAAGCAACTGCTCGCTCGCTGCTCAGAGAACACTGCCAAGCTTGTTTCTTCACTCTAAGGAAGAAGGTGCTTATCTCCATTCCTATCCAGGTGAAGCTGTCTAGCCCAGGGCCTCCATCCCACCCAGAGCATCAGGGTGAGCAGAGCTGGGCTCTGCCGTGAGCGCTGGAACCAGACTGTGGCAGCAGACAAAACCCAGAGGTTGAATCCTGACATCTGCTCACCAGGCTTGATTGAAAGTGGAGGAATTATATTAAATTACCTGATTACGTGAAGGCTGAGAAATGATAGTAGGTATTACAGCCAAGGCTGAACAAGAGCTTGGCAGTTCCCGTCTCTACAGGAGGAGTGGGAGTTTTGCCCTGGTAATAACAAGCTTTGCAAGTTCCTTCTCTTTAGAGAATTTTCTTTTTTCTTCTTTTTTTTTTTTTTTTTACTGAAGATGGAGAAGAAAACATACAAATTGCACATAATAAGTGGAACACAGAAAAAGAACCAGCTGTACTCGCAGATGTTACAATACAACCAAAGGTGCTTCTCTATTTTCTCTCCTTCTTAGAATAGGCCATATATGTCTGATGAATAATGCAAGAGATTTCCTCTATAGAACTATTAGCAGGCAGCCCTTCCTGACCTGTCTTTAATCACACTCAGCACTCAGCAGGCCTGGAAGGGAAGGGAAGGCAACACCACTCTTACCAGGCGATCCCAGTGGGTAGCAGTCACCCCAATCCTTCTCAACTGTAACGCTTCAGTGTGAGGAAAATCCATGAGCAGCTCTATGGGCTTTGTTCCTCACCTGGGCCAAAGCTTGGGTTAAAGTCAACAGATGTTTTGCATCTCAGTTGAATGCAGTCAGCATTTACAAATGATGTTTGTAAGGAGAAGCTTTTGCTTAATTATATAGACTTGTTCAATTGAACTCATAAAATCACAATCATAGAAAATCCCAAGTTGGAAGGGACCCATAAGGATCATGGAGTCCATACTCCTATTCAGGGATGGTGATGCTTCAGATTCATATTTGTGCACATTCATGGAGATCCAGAGACTCTCACTCACTTGCAGAAGGCTAACAGTGGTAGATCTGACCCTATCGGCCTAATAGATACAGAGAATTTATTTTGACTGTCAGGTATCAAGCAGTGCAGATGGTGGTGCTGCAAGTACCACGAACACTGCGTAAGCCTATTAATCAAGGCTGGAACCCAATCTTTTCCCAGAAACTAATGTTTACGGAAGTATTTGGGAAGCTCTGCAGATGGACAGATTAAAAAAAGAATAAGAGTTTGGCTATGTTGAATCTCTCAAAGAGAAGAGTTTGGCTATGCTAAAAGTGATTCAGTTTTTGCAAATAAAAAAGCTAGATGGTTTCTCCTAGTCCATCCAGTGCTGCCCAGCCCAGGAGACGACATGGTGCAGCACTGCAGGAACTTTGTGCAAAGCAAAAGGAAATTAAATGTGAGTCATAGGTAAGTGTCAGAGAACATTGCAAACCCAAGTTCCCATTCATCAGAAGATCTGATTACCTTAATGTGCTTCGTTTAGAAGCATTTCTACATACATAAATCAAAAGGTTCCGCTATGCCTTGTTGAGCTGTTGCAGCAGCACAGCAGCTCACCTCTCCTGCACAGGTTCAGCCCAGGCACCATCAGCCCACAGTCTGCTGCCATCCCTCTGCTCTCCCAGCCAGCCTCTGAGCCCTGGCCCATGCCTTCAGGGCATGAAAACCCTCACAGCACCTGGGCAGCAGAAAGGTGGCTCACAGCATTGTACCCCAGCTCCCGAGGCACTGGGCCAGCTCTGGCCAGTACAGAGAAACCCTGAATTAACAGAAAATGACATGTTTTGATTTGGTTTAATACGCTGAGATAGTTTGATCTGGATCTGCCAGGCAGGAATGATGCATTTCATTCAAATCTTCTTGACAAAACAGAAACGTCTACGTGTTTCCTTTAAAATCAATTTTTTCCATGGAAAAAAATTGATCTTTTTACAGAAAATGCATTTTCTCTATCTAGAAACACGTGAGTACCCCTAATTATCGGTGAGTTTGATAACAAACTTCTTGTGAGCTCTAATCTGAACTGCAGTAAAGTCATTTTCAATCCCCTTACTCACTGCAACCCAGAGCCATAAAATGGTGTAAAACACAGCTAGGGAGAATCATTCAGAGCCCCCACTCACTGCTGCCTACAAACTGGGATGGACAGGCACAAGAGCAGCCTTACACAAATGATGCTCACAACTGACCCCGGTCCCCCAACAACAACCACGTGCCCCATGTGTTCCTCCTGTTTCCTTATTTCCCTTCCAGGCATCAGCAGCAAGTTCAGAAGAAAAAGATGTGCCCAGGTTGGAGGAAGGGGGGGGAGCTGATCTTAAGTATGTCTTGAAAAATATAAATAAAGTTTCCCACTCCCATGACGGTTCATATATTTGTCAACAGGTCTTTATGGGAATGTGGTAAAGAAGATTTCTGATGCCTCGTAGTGACATATATTCCCAGTGAGGAACAAAGTTTGAACCAATTTTTGAGTTTTAAAATTATTGAGAGGAGGGATTAGCATGGCCAAGAATAACTGTGTATGGAAGGAAATTGATTTCTGGCCTGCTAATAATTTATTTTACATTCTTCATAATCATATTCCAAAAAGCATATATTCCACAGCAATAAATAGTTCCAACGACTCTCCTCATTTACTCTCCCCATTGCATTCTTCGGACTTGCTTAATTTCATAGCCCAAGGCTGCTGTGGGATTTGGGTGAATAACATATTGTGCCTATTAGAGACATGAAGCCATCCAAATGCTGCCAGCATGGGGCATCCTACCACAACAGCTCCTAGGTCACCCTATAGGAAGCTCTCTCCTGCTCCTTAACAAGCATTTTAATTTGGTCTGTCTGTGTAGCATTCAGCTGTTTCTACAACCAGCCCTTCCATGCCAGCTTCTGCTTTCTGTTTTTACTCCCATCCTTATCCCTCTGGGTGGAAAACTGCAGGATTGAAATCCTTTATGAACTCCAAGAGTTGTAAATTCATGTTCAATTTATTGTTAAATACGTGTCTGATATGAAAATGAAATGGTATTTAAAGATGTTACTCAATTCTGAACTTTTAAAGCAGCCCTGGGAAGAAATGTGGGATGAACACAAAACTTTCTGACTTCCAAGTGAGGTCACCAACATTAGTGTTCCATCTTTTCTTTGTTGTTTTCAGGTTTTCATTGAAACTATCTAACATTTCATCTAACAGATTAATAAATAAATAAATAAATAATAAAAAGCACTGTATTTAGATAACTTCCTTGCCAGATACCTCTGAGCCATGATTTTGAAACATCTCCAATGGTCACGACTGGCAAAGGCAAAGAATGCAGCAAATTAGGGCTTTCTTCCTCCATATCGATTCATCTGCAAAACATGCAGCCACCTGCATTATCAGAAGCGAGAAGGCAATCATCAACAGGGTGAAAACTGCCCCCAAACAGCCGACCTCAGGGATAAGCTCAGATTTTTCTGAAAGAAGGATGGATAGCCATAGGGAGTAGGAAAAAACTCCTTTTACCAGCACGCTGCGTCCTGAGCATTGCCTCTACCCACAGCCCATGTCAGAGAGCCCTCATTGGGCAGAAGGACACAAGGACCTCAGACATAACCTGGACTTTTGAGGAAGCCAGATTGAGCACAGGGTGGGAGGCTGCATTCCCACGCACCTGAGGGCTGAAGCTGGTGGAGATGACATGGCCCCAGGATCTTAAATCCCATTACCTTTCACCACAGCAAATGGGACCTGTAGTACAGCCTGCTCAGGAGGGCGTGATGGATGTGCAGGTTTGAGGCTGGGGATGCTGCAGGCTGCTGCTCCCAGGACAGCTGAGCCACAGAAAGCGTTAACACAGCTCCCGTACTTCACTTTATGCTGTGAAATGAATGTTATTCTCAGGGGCTGCAATAAGGTTGTAACAAGCTTAAATACTTCATTAATGAGGGCTCTGTAAGTACCACAGAGACAAACAAGATTTGAGAGGGGCAGAAGCCTTTGTGCTTTCCTCTTCTCCACTGGGGAGAATTTCAACTCGCTGTCCAATTTGCAATTGCTAACAGAAAATTTTGCACGTGGAAATGGATTTGCTTGCACAGTTTGTGCCTCCATCTAATTGTTTTTAAACTTTGCATCCTGGGAAGAATTAGCAATCATGTTTTAGCAGATCTCTGTTCTTAACGTCTCTGAGTTTTTGGGGGATTTTCTTCATGTAATATCCCATATGTTCTGATTGTTTTCAGGGGAACACAGTCAAGTTATCTCTAACAAATACCTGTTAAATCACAGAGCACATCAATCCACTGGCCAAAGCATTTGCAGTCTGTTATAGAAGTTATGACATACCTTTTGCTAATGGGGAAAATGATGCCAGGAATAAACACAAGTCTTGCTAATGTGATTGTTTTATTCTTCTAAACTATACTTGCAAACACATTATTTTCTTAAGGTTTTTTCTTTTGTTTGTTTTTTTGCTTGTTTTTTTTTAATTTTAAAGTAAGAAGGAATGAGAAAGCAAGAACAGAAGGACGTCTGAATAAGACTGCCAAGGCTCAATGGTTCCATGGAGCCACTCCTTCACAGTTTGCTAGCATGGGTTCAGTGCTGCTGGGGAAATGGAGGTGCATGAGCAATTTCTACCACCTTCCTCATTCCTCTCCTGCTATAACCTTATAACACTTCCAGGCCTGACTGCTAGCAATAGCTGCCCACAGCCAAACATCACGCTGCCGTCCAGGATGTGTCCTTACCACCCACTCTGACACACCAATCCCATTGAATTCTGCTTTGATGTCCCCTTGGGGACCTTAAGAGTGAGATATAGGGGACAGATCTTTGAAACATTTAGTCTATTGTGGCAATAGGAAAATCCTGAACTATTTAAACTGTTGTGCTTAAAAATAATGTTGGCTCGGTTTTTGAAGTCCTCTTAAATCCTCCTACTTGGGAGAGGATAAAAATATCCCACCGCACCTGCTTACCTCAACCATTTCCAACAGCCACTGCCTCCTGAGAAGAGCTCCTTCAAGATGTTGCCTCCTTAACTGCTTTGTCCTGACGTTGCACAGGTTGGAGATTTTGGGATTTAGGCAATGTGCACCAAAACAAAGAAAAGGCCTTTGAGCTGGAGGCACTTGTGTACAATGGAAGTGCAGCTTGCCCCTGCAACATTCATCCCTTTGGTTATGCTTCCACAAAAGCCTCCTAACTCATTCCCTTCAAGGGAAAATGTTTTTCTTTCCATAGCTCTATTGTAGGCTTGTAATCAAAAGTAGGCTCCTTAAAACTGAAGCCTGACCCTAACATCTGTTAGCCCTTCTAATATCAGCGAAAACAGGGCATGAAGTGCTTTAAATCAGAGCTTCATTCCCCGGAATAAGGAGGATCGTCCCTTTCTGGTCAAAAGTCACAGATGGCAGATGTTCAGTTTTATCCCCTTTGGCCACTGGCAATGGCAGATTCAGAGCTGCGACAAAGCGCTAAGGCTCCGCACCAGCTCTTAGCTCTGGGAAATACCGGCTGTCTGCTCTCATTCATTCTCTTGAAGCAATCTTTAATCTTCCCAAAGTCCCCTTCAGGCTCTCTGTTCCAAGGCCGCAGCTAGAAGAATGGCTTCACACAAAACCCAGAGCACAGTGCAACCTCAAGGCACTGAGTGAAAAAGTGAACACAACAAATGTAATAATAGTCATAAAATAAAAAAAAAAGCAATCTACCACAAAATCGAAGTGGTTACCAAAATCCCCACCCACTGAGCCATTTGTTCTACTCACTCCTCTGAACACTGAAGCCAAAGTCCTGTGCTTCCTCCCTTCATCTTTCTTCATTCCTCAGTGAACTCTTATTGCAACAGAAGCATCAGCCCTGGACTCATCAAGCTGCTGGGTTAGCAGCAGGTCATGCACTGTACGGCAGCTGGCACTTCCCATCCATTTCACCTACCTCCATCCTGCTGATAGCCAATCTGTGATGGAGTTTATGATCACGGTGCTCCAACCGTCTTTGTCTGAAGCTTGGAATGCCATGAGTCAAGGCTTTCTGCCTACAACAAAAGGGAGAAGGCCTGTGAGCTCCAGGAGCGTGAATTACAGAAGGCTCTTGTGCACACCTTGCACACTTTTCATATGCCTGCTTGAATAAGATCCTGCCATGAATATTGCTACTGACCTTAGATTTAAAAGCCAACTTGCTTTTCTTCCTTTTCTGACAGATATAATCCAGGGCTAAAGGAAAACAGAGAACAAGAGCTTGGAGAAATTTGCAAGCTGGCAGATCCACAGGTGAAGGACCAAAACAGACCTGAACTGCTAACCAGACTCCTGGAGTCATCTGAGGAGAGGCAGAATCAGCAGAGATGACATTACTCACAGATCCCTCCTGATGCCTTAAATAATTCATAGCAAACACTGGGACATAAAGACCAGAAGTCCCATGAGGAGGCATGTGGCATTGTTTTTGCTCATTAGGGTGAGTCACACAACACACATTATTACATAAAGCGGGATGTCTCATTAATTACATCTGTCTGGGGGCTATAGTGTACCAGTGCCTGGAAGAGCTACGGGAGACTCAGTCCTTGTCCTCATCATTCCAGAAAGTCCTACAGTGCCTCTCTGCAAGAAACCACCATCACTTCCACCCAGCTGCCAGCTGGGCTCTGGCTCCCAGCACCCTCACTGTGGTTCTGCCTGTGGGTGCCAGTGTGCATTCCCCAGCGAGGTCCCTTTTCTGCCAAACTGTCCCCCCAAGGACATGGATCTCCTCATGCTCACCCACAGCAAGGCACAGAGAGGGAAAACCCACCCTGAGCCAAACTCACGTCGCTGCCATCCACACTGAGAAAACAACAGGCTGAAGGAGGAGCTGTAATAAAATGGTGTTTGAAATAGGAAGCAGTGCTGCACTGTGGCTTCCAGGGAGAGGGGAAGCGGAGCATTGCAACAGCAACTGCCAGCATTTGCCCATGCAGACAGGTGGTGGCTGTGCCTGCCAGCTGCATCAGGAACCTCAGGATCCACTCCTCCTAACACATCCATGAGCATCCAGGAGGACCAGCCCTGTTGGCAGGGACAGCAGTGCAAAGGGGTGCAGTGCCATCCGCTTCACTTCTGTCACCTGCAGGTCCCCAGATAAGCCTGAATGTTCAGTAAGTAAGAGAAGGTTGTCTCACAGCTCCCTCCTACCTTTCAACAAGGAAAGCTGCTACAGGAGGCATACGCCTCTTTGCCAGCCCATACTGCAGGAGCTCCCTGTGGTTCAGTTATACGGGGTGGACTAAAACCCCCCAGATCCCTTGCAGCCCCCTTTGTGCCCTCCTACAGCACTGCAGGTGGGGCTGTGCCTGGTGGAGGATACTTGTACCCTGCAGTGATGTGAGACAGATCAGAGACAGGAAGGGGAATTTGATTTTGCTGTTTGGCACAAAAGAGGATCACAGAAATAAGTCAGAGGATCTCTGAGATCCACACTAACGTAACCTTCCTGAGAAGTACTCAGTCTTGTGCTTGATTGCATCCAGATCACCAAAATACTGCTGCCAGCAGACAGTGCTTGTTGCCTCCACAGAAAACACAGGAGTTACTGGTGGGGAGAAGGGAAAGGTCAGGGAACATCCTCGCACGTTTTCCTCTCTAACAGTTAGTTCTTGTGACTATATCAATATGCAGTAGCAATGACAGGGACAGATGATCTGGAACTCCCTGCATTATTCATACACAGAGAAAGAGGAGGCAGCTATTGTGAGAAGTATCTGCTGGCGTGTTTAATATACAAGGCTCTAAACCTCAATGCACTGCTGCAGATGATGCTGTATTGAAATGCAGCTAACCTATTGAGAAGTCTCACATTGAACAGGGTATGTTTCCAAAGTTCAAACACTCCAACATACTCCAGGATTGGAAATAGGATATTAAGAACAGGTTGGGGGAAAGAAAAAGAAAAAAAAAAAAAAAGGTAGATTTGGGGAGAGGAAGAGGTGGATTTGGGAGCTCTACCAGCTCCCAGTTGTCCCAGTTAGGGCTTCAGCCCCCATGAGACAACCTTACCATCACACAAACAAAAGCACTGCTGCACATCTCACAAGTGGGAAGTGCTTCCTTACTCTCCTTTGAGCTCACAAGATATCACCCACTGGAGCCTGCCTTGCCCAAGATGAGCAGCTCACCCCAGCACTCCAAATGCCAGATTCTCATCCTGTCATTGCATGAAACAAAGTCTATACATAGCTCCAGTTTGCCTTCTGGAAAGGGCTTTCATCCTCCATCTCACGCTCAGTCTCATGAGTAGGAAAACAAACAGTGAGATTCCTCTACAGCAACACAGCAGCAGAAGAAAGAACAGAGAGATCTCCCTCCTCCATGTACCCCCAAATAACCACGCTGCACTGGATCATGGCACAGCCCAATGAAAGAATGAGTAATGCAGAGGCAGTGCCCCAAGTTCTGTAGTAACCAAATCTCAGGGAGACTTTATCCTAAACTCTTCAGCATCCAGTGACTAAGCAACACATGTAAAAGCATGCCCTAATGCTCACAGATATAAGGAGGCCAGGAGACACGAGTTTTCTCCTTTTGCTATGTTAGGGTTTAATAGAATTATATGGTCTTTAGTTTACCTTGCCATGCAGGCACATTAAACATGGATTTCTCTAAAGCTCGAACATCACACGATACCCAAACAACCTTGTCATTGCAATTTTGCACATTTTTCCTCTTTTGTGTATCTGTGAGTTCTGACTGTGGTAAAATTTCATCTCAGCCCACTGCCATCTGGAGCAAGGTTCGGTCTCAGACACGAGCATAATAGGAAAGGATATTTCTGGGGAGTGGTGGGAAGGTTCATCATGTGAATGCTTAGAGCTGGTGATCTCTTTCAGTATCTCACTGTGAAGCGTTGTATGATCTGCACCCATCAAGACAGAGTAACTGGAAAGACAGAAAGAGCTTTGAGATCTGATTGGTACTGGGGTCTACAAATCCTTAGTCATCACAGCAGGAAGATTCACCCTAAATGATTTTCAGTTTGGAGTTACCCTGATTTATCCAGGAGTGACCTACACCACCTGCAGAGTGTCAGAAGAAGACTCAGCCACTGCAGGGACTCGGCAGCTCCCAGCTCTGGGTCTGCTCACTCTCAAGGGACAAAGACAGATGGTGCTGAGATGGGTTCGCTCCAGATTACCTGTTAGGCTTCACAGGGAGCATCAAAACCTTAATTATCAGGATTCAAAAGGAACACCAGAGGATGCCTTGCAACCTCCTGCCACCAAGAGAACAGGTAGCACCCAATGCTTTGCACTGCTCAGACATCACACCATCTTTCCACACTGCCTGTTGGATACAGGCTGGGTCACTCTCTGCTGGCATCAGCAGTGCATGGCACTTCCTTGAGTGGCTCCAGTCCTCTGACAACATCCTTCACCCATTTTAGTGCTCGTGCTCTTTCTGCCTTGCAAGGTTGCCCCCCAGCACTCCATAGGGCAGAGATCAGAGAGGAGAAGAGGAAGAGTGATGCTCAGAGATTTCTCAGACCCGTGTCAGGCAGCCTGTTTACTTCTGCTGGGTGTAGCTGGAGATGTTTGGATGCTTTTTATATGACTTGACATCTACCCCTCAAACAACAGATCCTGCATCCCCAAAAAGGCCAGACAGACATATTATCTTCTGATGCTATTTCCAGCATTGTCCGGCAGACACCGCTGGGGAAGAAGAGCAGCTGCAGCTGGGGCAGGTTTACAAGCTGTTACTGGGCTGCCCGTTCCAGGCGATGCCTGTCAGGTCTGCGTGAGCTGGGCTCCTGTAATCAGCCAAAGCTGTTGTTTGTTAGCCCCTCGCGGTCTCTTGACTTTTCATCTTGATTAAAGAGCACGCCAAACGGCAGGATTAGCAAGGCAGGCATCCCAATCCTTTTGCTGCTCCTGAAATCCAGTCGCCTGCCTACCGCACACGTGCTCATCCTCAGGGCTAACAATTAGTGGCACCAGCTGCTAGCCTGGATGCCAGGGCCAGGAGCTATTAGTGCACAGACCATTAGCTTTAAAAGGCATTTGGAACTTCTGAACGTATTAGGGTTCTTATGACTGACGGACAGTACGGCCATATGTGGCTCACTGTTTTTTCTGTCAATATATTTCTCCAAAACAGTGTTGGGTTATCAGAACGATTTAGGTGGAGTACTTGGGAAGATATCTTACCAAGAGGACGGAGTACTGCATTCAGTTGAGTAATTGTTACCTGCTTAAATTAACTTATTGGCACCCTTCTTCCAAGTCAGGAACGGCAATGGGTTGCTTGAATGGCTGGATATTGGGACTCTATTTTTAGCCCTGCCATTTGCCCACCTAATGATTCCAGGGAAGTCATTTCAATTCTTTATGCTTCAGCAACCCCATCTGTAAGATGGCAATGATGAGCTCATACCACAGGACTTGGAGATCTGTGCCTGTAAAACAATATAATAAAACTTTGGATTCCCATTACTGTTTAAAGCTGAGGTGGGGAGGAAGTCCCACAGGTCTTTGCATAGTTTGCAGCAGTACCTACATGGATTTTTTCAAATCTTGCATTCCCACTTGCACGTCATTTGAAGCCAGTGACAAAAGAGAAGAGACAGAGCTCCAGGCTGGTTGCTCTGCACGTTGTGGCAGTGGGTGCAGACATGAGGAGGCCACTCAGCCCCCTGGCCATTGCCCTCGACCCACAGAGATGAGCCAGGTTGCAGAGCAGAGCGCTGACTCTAAATCAAGTTAAAAGCCAGACTGCCTTACCAGCCTCAGCCCACTGCAATCCAACCACAGAGAGCTTTTCCCATTACTTTCCCAGCTTTTTGTTTAAAGCAGAGCTGTCATGGAATTTGGAGTTCAAACACAAGACCTCTTCAAAAGTCTTTAAAAGAGATTTTATAATGTGATGTTCTGATGAAATTTCCAGGCCTTCTTGCTTCATACAGCTGGCGAACACCAGCAAAATTCTTTTATCATTTTTTAAAATGTTTGAATATAATATAATAATATAATCCCATAGCTGGATTCTTGAAATGCATACATTACGTCAGTAACATAAAAACTGGTCTTTTTATCTCGGGTCTGCCAGATTTGCAGGCTCGGGACAGTTCTTCTGCCATTTGAAAGGGCTCTCCCCTTAGTTAGACACATGCGTCCCTCAACTTACCCAGATGGTTTCCTCCTCCAAGCTAGAATAATGTATTTAAATTTATCCAATGGCTTCCATGACTCAGATTTCCCATAGCTGGAAGGTTTCTAGCCGTCCTCTGCTCCACCTGCTCAGATGTTGAAGCAGCCCTCTCACTGGCTCACAACCTGCAATTCTGTGCTTCATCAGTGAAGTGTGACTGCTGTCAGGGCAGGGGGAGGCTTTTAGCTATTTTAGTCTATCATGAAGCAGTTCTAGAGCAGCTTCATGTTCATATAACCCATGGTCTGAAGCTTAGTCCCTCGTAGTCCTGGAAAGAAACTTTTAGAGGTTTGTTTCTTCTGGAGAGGAAGGGTATGTCCTGGAAGCCATCATTTAGTGATAGGATAAGAAGTAATGGCTTTAAGTTGCACCAGAGGAGGTTCAGATAACATACTAGGGAAAATTTCTTCTCAGAAGGAGTGGTGCTGCACTGGCACAGGCTGCCCAGGGAGGTGGTAGAGTCGCCATCCCTGGAGATATTCAAGAAACATGGAGATGTGGCACTGAAAGACATGATTACTGGGCATAGTGGGATGAGTTTAATTTGGGGATCTTAGCGGTCTTTTCCAACCTGAATGGCTCCATGATTCCATGATTTCAGCCTTCTGATTAGACCAATGGATAACCAGAATTTCACTCCATCCCAAGCCTCCATTCCCCAGATATTTCTTACTAAACCACACTTCCTATCCAACAGCAAACTCATTCAGCCACTACAGCACACAACAACTTTGCTGTCTATATAATCAGATAATTTTCTGGTTTGGACAATGTGACAGAAATGCAGATCCTTGCATACTGGTATTTTATCATTTGCCTCAATTTCTTTGAGACAACAGGCAATGATTTCAAATAGCACATCAATGATCAAGACATCCTTCTTTACTGGTGTTCACTGGGACCTGAGATCCTATGCTACACAGACCATTTTGAAAATGCTACCTGGTGCATTCCAACTCACTGGAGTCCCTCTGTAGACAACACATCTTTGGATAAAAGCATCCCAAATAATACTGATGTTCAAGAAATCCTTCGAAATTGCTGGCAGGCATGAGTGGTGGCTCATCATAGCCTGGATCAGCTGAAAGCTGGAGAAGCAGCTGAGGAAGGATGTTGTGATATGATCAGGCTCACAGAGGAGAGAAGCTAGATAGGAACAAAGGCAAGAGGCTGCATAGGCTTCAAAGCTGCTGGGTTAAGCTGTTAGATTGGTTTTATAAAACATATGTTGGAGTTTAAGAAGAGAGAAGAGTACTGAGCTACAGGGTTCTGTGCTGCCATCATCTTCCATGGGCTATTCCCAACCATCACAGAAGTCCCAGACATTTGAAATCCCTGTTCTGGTTCAGCCCAGACTCCACAGGGCACTGAATGTACAAAATTCAAGCAAGAACCTGCTTGAGAGAAGAAAAAACAATGACCAGCGAAGTCTTTGCCTCAGTGGCCCAACAACACTCACAGTATGGCACAGATCACTGCAACCAGGCAAGCTGTATCGGCCACCTTCTGAAAGATCAACAAGCTATGTGGTGTCTCGGAGCAGGAACACAAATGAAAAATAAATGCACATTGGAAAACTAAGCCTCTTGTCATAAAAGACAACATAGGGAAGGAAGATTGGCAAGGGCAAACAGTCAAGCAGTTAATTACAGAGTAAATTAACTCTCCAACCATGTACATAATCAGACAGGAAACATTATAAGCTTAAGCCAGCAGTTTCAGTAACAAGATTTTGACAAAATTCCCATTTATCATCCCTGGGCTTAGGCAGTGAAGTTCTGCTTGAATGTCTCAAAATGGAACTGTAGTTCTCTACAACATTGTCACCAAAGCCCTCGCACTTAACTGGGTTTTGAGGAACAGACATTGAGCCAAATGCAGGAGGAAAATAATAAAATAACACCTTCAAAATCACTGCTAATTGTCAGAAGCATTTCACAGCAGGGCCCTGGGTCCTTCCTTCAGCGCAGAGCAGTGAGGTGTTCCGGCCATGGATCAGGACTCTAAGGGGAAGATGACCCTGGAGCATAAGACCCTGATGTCATTTGTCACGAAACCTTGAGGCAAAAAAGGACTTAACTTTTCCATGGTAAATTGCTTCACAATTTGAGACATCCAGGGCCAGATTTGTAGATGTGAACGTAGCAAAGGCCATGAAAATCAGCTAGAGAGATGAGTGCTGTAAACAAATAAATAATCAGCCTCATCAATTTTCAAGTTCAGAACAAGAAATCTCAGTGGAAATTTTTCACAGCTCTTCTGTGCCTCAGTTCTCCGACTGGAAAACAAGAGGATGTATGATGCTTCTGGGTCATTCTTACATAAAATAAAATCACGACCAAAAAGCTCAGGCATCACAGAGAAGCACAGTTAGGGAGCAGTTAGGAATCTGGATCCCACACAGTGTCTGTGAAGGACCCAGAAGAACAGGGAGAAATTTGGCTCACGAAGCAAAACATCAGAAGAGCTTGCTGGTTGCCACCAGCTGGGCCAAATTATACTTATATACTGCCTGTTAGATCGACATGGAATGAAGTGGGGGAAATGAAACATTGGTCAGGAGCTTACCCCAGAGCACCTGATCCCTGCTGGGTGTGAGGAGCTGGTGCTGATGTGGGGGCAGCATTATTCGACCCTGGGGCTGAAGCTTCCATCTTCACCTGCAGCATGCTGCGTGCCAGCCGACAACGAGCTGCCTGATGGAGGAAGGACAGTCAGCACATGGCACCAGGCTCAGAACCATAGCAAGGGTGCACCCAGAAAAGCCCCAGAGGGTGGGAAACATGTCTGTAGCCCTCTGGTGCACTGTGAGTATGGGTTGTTTTTCTGCAGCAGCAGCAAAAGAACCAAATAAAATCATTCTTTATTAGTTGAGAGGAGTACTCAGCAGCCCGAGGACAAGTGTGCAGTTTTTGTCAGCCTGCCTGAGGAACATTTAAGGCTTTCAATATCAATGTGTCATTTCTGAAAACAGCCCATCACAGGGGTGAGTTGTCCAAACAAGCCTTCATGGCTGTTATCAGTGTCTCAGTGCATTTCTCCGTCCCCAAAGCAGCTCCCTAGGCTGCTGGCTCTGGCTGCAGGCTGCTGGCTGCAAGTGCTGGGACCACCTCAGCAATGGCAATCCCATGGTTGCTGCTAGTGGAATGAATCTGCACACACTGCCCCAAAAGCTGCCTGCCCATGTAATCCTTCCTCCCAGACATCAAAGCACAGCAGGCTGGGGATACCAGAAGACAAAGCCCTGTGGCCCAAAAAGCTATAGTGGGCCAATGCCAAGAGATTGCTCTTAGGAATATGAAGCAGCAACACAGGAGCTTGGAACTGTATGGTTTGGCATTACCAGCTGTTCCTTTTTTTGGTTGTTGTTGAAGCTTTTTATGTCTTATAAAGGAATTTTACCTGGATTCACTCTTAAGCTGCAGTCACGCACCTCCCTCAGAAATTGTAATTGGACTTTAACCAATTTGTCAAGGCCAAAATAGCTTCCTGTATCTTGAATACAGGCATTTCACCAAGTAATCCAAAGACTGCTCTACTTCGCTGTTGAGAGAAAAGGTTTTTATAACGCCATGGATTTTGCTGGCTTTCAATAACAGCTTAAGATCAGAATTGGCTCAGTCTCCCACACTTGTACTTGGTGTTTTTCAAGAATCGGTAGGGATCAGAGCACAGGGGCTGAGGATGTGACTGCAGGACATGCAAGGTTCAGGGCAGGATGGCCAGGGTGCCTTGTGCTCCCATCTAACCCCCTGCTAGAGGCTGTTCTGTTGATCAAGCCACCACACAAGAGACCACAGTCCCTGGTGTCAGGTGCACCAAGCAAACAACCCTCATCAAAATCTCCACTTCCTCCAGCCCTACCCAGACGTGTCCTGGAATTATTCACGAACCAGCTGACAGCTTTGTCTCAGATATCAGGGGCAGCATACTGGAACTTTGCAACTTCTCTTTAATGAGTTTGGCAAACAAGGTAATGGCATGCTTGTCCTGCAGGTTCCATTTGTCTGCGCCTGTCCCCGGCAGGCTGATCCAGCTCTGTTCTCCGAAGCGGCTGCACGCCAGCACCATCCATCTCTTGCTGTCTTCTGGGATGCACAGGCCAGGTTCCTAATAGATGTGGCCTGAACAGATCCCATAGGCACCTGGCAGAGAGAGAGAAGCTGCTGAAGGATGAGTGAGCACTGCCTGTAAATGCTGATCTTTCTGATGTCAAGGGATGGAGGAGCATAAGATCTCCACGGCGGGCACAGACAAAGAGAGAGGAAAGAGAGATGTTAATGTGCTTTGTATTTAATCCCAAAATATTCTTCATCTCTTAAAATAAGAACTGGGAAGGAAGTCCACGCTGCCCAATGGGCAAAGCTTGGCAGGGTTCAGACTTGTACATAGGCAGGATGCAGGAAGGCACGAGCGACAGAATGGCAGAGGTGGCCAGAACAATTCTTCATTAAAACCCAGTGAATTAATGAGTTATCAGGGTCTTTCATATCGATCAGCCCTGAAATACTATTTGGGTATGCTTGCAAAATGCTTGCATTTAAATTTCTTTTTTACATCTGGGATTTGTGATCAGAGTTCTATTGTCATCATTAGATTTTACAGCTTCAAAATGTTTTTTATTTGTTTTTAATCTGTTCTTCTTTGCTTCTACTGCTACCAGCAAAACAGAAAACACAACAAAAAAAACCAAAGCTTTTCTGAGAATTGAGATTTCAGGACCTTTTGCAAGGAGGGCAGAAAAAATGAACAAGAAATCAACTTTAAAAGGAAAAATATAAATAAAACCAATGAAACAGAAGATGAAAGAAAAAGAAAAGATCTTAATGACTGGAATTAGTCTGATTTCACCTGAACTTTCCCCAAATAGAGAATCTCCCTCAGAAATCAAGCACAGAGCCTTATTTCACATTTTCCACAGTAACCTTTAGAGTTCAAAACACTCATCTGCTCACCCCCCCACATCCCCTCACAGCGCCGTTTGCAAATGACACAAACATTTGACTATGATCTGTGCTCTCCCTAACGCAGCCCAGCCCGTGCCCGCGCCTGCTAACAATTTTCTCTGGAGCAAGTTCAAGCACAATTTGCTCATGCTGGTATCTATCTGTCATCGGATGTGTCAGCCGAATCTCTTTCAGCTCGGATGGGGAGGAAAGAGACAAAAGGTCACCTTCTACATACAGTGTGTTCTCCAGGAGGCACGGAAGAAAAGGAGAAGAACCGAGTTTTCATCTACCTGACAGGAATCAAATGCTTTTTCCCTTCTCCCCTTGCATTTCATTCCACGCTTGCAGCACCTCTCAATGTCTCTAATAGCAGATGGAGATGTTCAGGAGAGAGGAAAATCCCTCCTGAGCCACTGGAGAGCCAGGAGGGTTAAAGCACACAGCAGCTCAAAAGGTTGCAACGTGTTCCATCAGCCTTTGGACCCTGACAGTATCTCAGCTCCCATGGCCACAATTAGTAGTTCTGTTTGGTTGATACAGCCACAGTGCTTTCAGGAGCTGTGGGTTCATGGCACTGCCCCAGCTGAAGTCACACCGTGCTGCTTGGACCTCATCCTCCCGTGGGAGTTGCAAGCAAGATGACTTCAAGTGCATTTCTGCACTGACAAAGGGTTAATGTAGAACAATACTCCTTACAGGTGCTCCTGACTGTGTCCTGTCTTTCTGCTGCCTGCAAGCAGGAACACATGGATCTGTGAGCCTGTCCCATCGTGCTGCAATCTGGCACTGCTTCCACCAAGTGTGCCAAGAGGGGATGTGCTCACTGGGGAGAGGGGGATTTCATGGCCAGACACTCCACTCAGGTATGGGCAGCAACCTGCAGCACCTCAACAGTGAGGAACATATGCTCTCAAAAAGGACAGTTTGGGTTGTAAGGACGAGAGATGCCAAGGCATCACCTCTGTTGAAAAAAAATATCCTATCTTTACTGTACTTAGGAATGGAAGGATTTTTGCCTGCTTAAACCCTTGATTTTTTTTTAATTTTTTTTTTTATTATTATTAGCATGACTGTATCTGACACAATCAAAAGGGATTCTTGGGAAAAAATATAAAATGGTACATTTATTTTTTTGTGAAAGTCAGCAAGAGCAGGAGATGTATGGGAAGGTAAGGAACAGAAGAGCTTGGAGATTTATTTCCCATTAGAGAGTGGCAGATGGAGAGGAAGGGGGCACAGCAAATAATTTGAGTTGGAGCCAAACTGAGGAAAGGCAAAAATGAAATCAAGACTGGATGAAAGATTTTCAGTGAAATATTCCCCCCCCCACAACCACCACTAAAAGAAAAAGTTTTCTACAAAACAACATGCTCAGGGACAGCCCCACTTTGCACAAAGTTGTTATTATTTTTCAGTTAGCATTGAGTAACCAACCCAAAAAGGATTAGCACCACCACAAAAAGAAGTCAGGTTGCAGCAGACTTATTTCCATAGAAGACGTGGGTGAAAGCAAAGCCTCATGTGCAATTTTTCCATCAATAAAATCTAATTTTCCAACCATTTTTAAGGCTGAAGTGGAAAAGAGATTTAAGGAAAAACATTCTCAGGAAAAGCAAGCTGGATGCTATTGACAGCAAACGTGCAGAAACTTTCCCCAGTCTGATTGCTGTTGTTACCTGGCCTTCTCCCAGAGTCCCACCTGAAGGATAACCCTGTCCTAAGAGACAGTTTGCTGTGCCTAACAGGGACAGACTTCTCTTTCAAAAATGCTTCTTTTTTTTTTCTTTTTGTCTTTCCCCAATCATATCTCTTCGATTAATAAAAGGTTTTGCCTCTCCCTACAAGCCTTGCCTTGCTCTGACATCCCTCTAGCTATGGACATCCAAAATAGCCTTGCCAATTTTGGAGCACAAAAGTGGTGTACCCAGGCTTGCAGAGGAACACCTCTCAGAGGGACTATGCACAAAACTGATTTTCATTAGCAGGAGAACAGGCTGACAGCATGGACCCCTTGCTAAGCCCCACTCCAACCCCACATTTATTCTGCTGTGCCTCAAACCATGCTGCCCAAGCATCTTGTCCTCCCTTATCACATCCCTGATACTCCTTGTTGCCCTATTAGATCTTTTTGGAGTCACTAAAATAGGAAATATATGGGCAAACACCCACACAAGTGAAATCTGGTAAGACTAATTGGGGAAAAAAAGCATTTCTTCACAAGGTGTTTGTTACCAGCACAACAGCAGTGGGTGCAAGATGGACATTTTGCAGCACATCAGAGTGCAAAGACCTGGGCCCAGACTTTTAGCAGCAGCAAGAGCTGTGATGGAACTGCCTTGTAAGAACCACCTTAAGGTAATGAAAGCAGTGGTAATGCCAAGCTGCCATTTGCCATGCAGCCAAACTAAGCACCTTTCAGTCCTTCATAAATGCATCTTCTGAGCGCAAACTTCTCACACTAAAAGAGAGGAAATCATCCTTGCACTTTAGCAAGAGGAATGACTCAGATAGCCCCAGGCAACAAAGATCTGAGCCAATAAAGAACAACAGTATCTGAATGCCTTTGGAAAAGCATTTGCTGATATTTTTTCACATGTAACATTGCTTTAAGCTCCAAAAGACGCATAGGTTTATGGCAAGCTCACTAGGAGGATGTTACTGTGATATTTCTTTCCAGCACATCTTCCTTGCATATTTTAGAGATGTGGGGCCAGCTGGGAGACAGGCTGTCCATGGGAGCCTCCACTGCAGTTCTCTAAGCAAAAAAGAAACCAAAAAATTGAAATATCATAGGGTGAAATCGGGGCCTAAGTCCATAGAAAAAAACTCCTGCTGGTTTCCATAGGCTCACACAGATTCTCTTATCACTACTCAAACATCCAGACAGGCTCAGAAAACCTTATCAGGATGGATTATGCTCATGCTGTCCATCATTCTGTCTACAGTTCCATCACCACAGCAGGAGGTCGGGTAAGGGCACAGGTCCTGACAGCAGCTCTGCTCTGACAGGGAAGAGGTTGTGGCCTTTTGACCTTCTCTACTGACTACAAGATCAGGTGAAGGGCTTTCTCGTCTCATCTCCTGCTTACTTGGGATTTCTGACATTTCTTTCAGTATGAAGAGAGCACTGTAAAAAACTGTCTCACGAACATCACATTTTTTAATGAATGCATCCAAACTGATGAGATGGGATGGACAGAACGATTCTCTCCACCCCACACACGAGAGCTCACCTTCCCTGCTCTCTGACACATCTGCAGGAGCTGCTGTGGCGTCCGGGGCGCAGGCCTCATCCGTGCCCCTCACCCAACAGCCCCACACTGGAGTGAGACAGCCCAACCTGCTGCTCCTCCCAGCCCAGGGCATCGCTCACCCAGAGCAGCAGCCAGCTGGAAGGTGCCTCAGCCCTCCCTAAGCACCTTGCCCTGCCCTGCTCTCTTCTTTCAAAGACTGCGCGGAGGGGGTAATGAGAAGGCCCAGCAAAGCTTTGAGTCATG